AACAGGCGAGCAAATTTAATAAATATGCAACCACTCGTAGCCTGATGATTCCCTGAGAGGCGAAACGTGGTGCATATTTAATATATTTGCTCATTGATGAGATATGATCAAAGTATATCACAATATCTGCATTTCATATTGGTCGATATCAATGTATATTGATTTGATCGTTTGTTTGTTTTTGTACTTTTCACTATTGAAAATAATGACCCGAAGGAAACAGAAATGGCTGAATTTCGGTCATCTTTAATAAGACGTCAATCCAGTTATGAAAAAGCCACAGAAACTTGCCTGATTTTGACTTGAGTGCAAAACCAGGATCGAACATGGCCATCACTGGCGCTAGACTTGCTCTCGGCACCAAAATACGGCCCATAATATGTTGGGTTTCTTGCTCTTTCGGCTTCATTGGCTTTATCAGGAAGGAACCATTTTAAGTATAATTGGTGGGTGGTCTGTTGGATGCTGTCGCCCCTGCATTTGTCAGCCAATGACAAAGAGTTTTAAGAATCATGCAAACTCTGATATTCAAAGAACCTCTCATAATTCAAAACAACAACAAAAAAAAGTAGGTTTGTAACTTTTTTGTTTGTTTTTGTCTTAATCCTGCACTTATCCAGGTAATGGAAGTCATCCAGAAAGCTCATGAAGGCAAACCTCTGACAAAGATCACCAAGAGCCAAGCGCCATGTGTCATCATGTAGACAAACAGGTGTGAATGGAACAAAGCTGGCTTTCCCCAACAGTGTCCTGATTGAAGTGTGTTTGTGTGGGGGGGGGGGGTGGTAATTTAATGGCAAAAAATTGCAAATCATCTGTTGGGGATAGTCCAGTCCGCCTCCCCCTTGTTCGTCCTTGACGCCGAACTGCTGGGCCATTAATGACTAGCGCCGCCTCAAAATAAGCCACGCGGCTGTGCTACGATGAATTCACGTGCCCGCCGGTTCTGCAGCTCGTCAGGAGCGGTCGACAGGGAGGACAGGTTTTGTTTTGATGAAATGCAAGATAAGTCATGAGCATGGTTTTTTTCCCCCTTTTTAATAACGGTTTACTGATACTGTACATTTTGTTTGGGAGGTGACTTAATTGGATTAGTTGAATAAAATATCTGCTCGCAATACTGTTTACACTCTGATTTCCTTGAGGGACAGACATTGACTCAACAGCCTTGGCGACCATTCCTCTCGTGTAAACATGTTTTCCGTAGTTCAGCGTCCCAGCAACAGGAGACAGGGAGACATGCGTTCCCGGCATAAAAATGATTTGAGCTCCTATCTATTCATCCATGAATCTGGTTGATTAGATTAGATTAGTGTAACACCATTACATGGTGTAAAATCCAGTGTTCACTCTAGGGGGCGCTAGGGTGACAGTTAATAATATCTAGTGTAGTTTGTGCTTTGAACATTTTCTCGGAGTTACATTTTAGATTTGAAATCTATCCAAACTCATTTATGCTTTCGAAATAATTGCATGAATGTCATCTTTTCCACGTGAGACACAAACCGAAAAAAGGAAACTGCATTTACTGGGAAACTAAGGAGCAACGTGATGAATCGAATCCCAAAAAAAGAAGTATTGTATGTACTGTAATTGCAATTGCTGTGCAAAAAAAAAAAAAAAAACCTTGGGGGAATTCTGACCATTTTCTGCAAATAAATGCTTTGAAGGAGAATTTTATTTTGTGTTTTTTTTTTTTTTTCTTGAGCCTTGGCTCAATAAATGTTGGGAAACACTGATGTCAGTTAGACATTATACTTAAAAGAAAACAAAAATCTAATAGTTCCAAAAAAATACAGATTGTGTGTTGACATGGTTTTTAAACCTAAGTCAGACTTTACAAATGTTATCAAATTGCAACTTGTACATTTCATATTGAAAAATCCAAGTAAATTAAAAAATTAAAAATGTGATTTAACGTACAAATTTTAAAAAATGCTTATATTGTGTTGAATCTGTAAGACATATGTAGAAATTGCACATTAATCTGTCAGTTCAGTCAAACATTAAAATACAAATTAGGGTCTCAAGTGAGCTGCAGCCAATTCCGACTGATTTTTGTAATGAGGGCGGGGTACACACTGGACGGGTTGCCAGTCAATTGCAGGAGTTCAAAATGAAAAGAAAAAAAAACAATTCTAAAAATGAAAAATATTGAGAAATCCTTTTTTTTTTTTAATCACAAATCATCCATAAATATGTCAATCGGTGAAATGTATTCATGGCACTCCTAACAGACAACTTGGAAATTGTCACATCATTTGAAGTAAATTTAAACTATTGAGTGAGTTGCACACCGGCCACTTGCGGGGTTCCTTTTGGACCAGCCATACAGAAAGAAAAAATATTTAAATGATGACGACTACCACGGCTAAAGTGGCTTTTACGTAATATTGACCCAATGCTTATTTGTGTTGTTAGGACGGGTCGTTTACTCTTTAATGACGCCCGGTCACAATTAATGTGCTCTTCCAAAGACGATCAATGCTCACTATTCCCATGCTATACGTTTTTAAAGTGTCTTTATGGGGTCAGGGCGTGTCTGACTGTCGCATGCGTGGAGTCAGCAGATAGCTGGCGAAAGCTGATGACGACGATAAGACCGATGCTCACGCATGCTGCGACTTTGCCGTACGTTAATCGTAACTTAGCATGTTCATGTTTTGGTAAACATTAAATGTAGTCTTCAAAGTTTAAGGTGTTTTTGTCGGTTAACTTCCAAGTGTTTTGTTCAAATATCACAAAGTGTCAACCCCTTAACCTTTAGTCCTTTCGATCATGCTGTTCACATTTTGACATCATGAGACCAAGACGACGCCCTATCAGTTGATGACCAGTAAACTGGGTGTTTCTCAAGGGGGCCGTTCCTGTATGCTTTCTAATTGTTTCCCAGGAAGATAATTCTCCTGTGTCCAACTTTTTCTTTTCTGACTGGAAACATGTCCCAAGTATGAGCCCTGGAATTTGTCCAGAATGGCTGCTTCAAACCAAAATGGCCAACAAATTTCGGGCACGGCACCTGAGACTTTTTCGCGTGGCCTTTTTTTTGAGAGGCATGTCCACACAGTTTGTGTTCAATCAGTGAAATTGTTGTAAGAGGCTGAATTTTTTTTTTCTAACTTTACACGGGACACTACTGAAGGAATTCCCCCCAAAATGGCTGCTTTAAACAAAAATGTTAGACTTCCTATTTCATTTCAGCCGTGGTTTCCTGAGACTTTTGGGGGGCATCCTTCTAGCAAGATATGTCCATCCACTTGTGTGTTTAGCGGTGAATCTGGTGTTGGGGAGATAATTATTTTATTTTATTTTTTACGTTCCAAGGGGCCAATACAGAGGGGAATTTTCCCAAAATACTCAACATACTGTTCAAGTCCCTGAAACTTTTTTTTTGTTCTGGCCCTGTCCCTTTAGACTTGGTTGACTTATCCAGCAACATTTATTAGTAAGGCGCAATTTTCACCCAAGTCATAAGATCGTACCTAATGAACGTTCCAGTGTCTCCCATGCAAGTGTGTCCGACGTCGATATAATCAGATTAAGCACGAGTGACATCAGTCCTCATGACTCGCATAAGACTTCCTCTCATTTTTATTTATTTTTTTTTGTTTTAGCCTTTTCACACTGAAAAGGCTGCTTGCTGTTGGCCCTGACAGACATTTGATAACCCCTTTCGTGCTTTGGACTGATGATTGGCAGCTGATTATCACTAACAGTGCTTCATTGGAATTTAAAAAAACAAAAAAAAACAAGGTTCAGTGGTTCAGAGAATGAATGAAAAAATGGGGAAAAAAAATCCGCAAATATGTGATTCGCAGGTGCCGAACTGTCAAGTATTGAAGGGGCCCACTGAACATGTTTTTTCACTGGACAGTAAGGATATCTTAGTTGTATCTCTATTCATTTTCAGGTACAAACTCACCTCACTGAACAGTTGGAAATGCTGCACATTAGTTTTAATGGACCGCAATTATATCCCTGCATCAGATAATCATTTATCATCATTCTTTGAATAGCAACCATAGCATCTCAAAATATTTTAGGTATGTTTTTTTTTTTTTTTTTTTTTTTTGGTCGTGTTTTTGCATTAAGCCATCAAACGGAGTCCATTTGGTCCCGGGCCACATCATCCACACATCCCCAGCATGGCTGGAATCCATCTGCTTCATGGGTGAGGTCCACTACAAACGGTTTAGCATGAATGGATGTGCATCAACTTTATTTTGTATTCCACAGGCATGGAACAGAATTGGTCACCAGACTAGTTTGGACTCATGAGATCTTCACAGATGGATCCTGGCTTCTTGATTAAGGAAACACTTGGGAGCACTTCACTAATGCCGCTATTTCTAATCCCATATCTCAAACTCTTGGTCCTTAACATTAGTTTCTAACTTGAAGTCCGAGACCGACCCTTAATCCACTGTCCCTAACCCCAAATCCCCAAACCTTGCTCCTTAACCTTTCATCCCTAGTCTCTCACCAGAATTCTTGGTCCCAATCACGTACATAGGCTACAATCCTAAATGTTAGTCACTAACCCTAACCTGTCGTACCTCAACCACAGTCCCGAAATCTTTGTCCCCAACCTTAACCGAAAGCCACCAAGCATACCTCCAACTCAAAAACTCGTCCCGTGCCCATAGTTTGTCATTCTAAACCTAACCTGATTGGTAAACTTGGGGGAATCCCAACGATGTCAACAAAACGACGTGTTTTGGCATGATTTCTACCCCATGTGTGCTCTCTTGTGTACCCCCGCCAAGCCCCCAATCCACCAACCGACCCCCAGCCGCGAAGATCATGGCATCAGACGTAGCGCCATCAGCCATGCTTCTCGAGGGCGGAGTAGTCCAACTAGGGCTGGGATATCCCCACGTTAAGGTGTCCCTGAATGATAGCGCTCGCGTGCGGTCACGTTGGGGGTTTATCTACACCGACCTTGTGTGGTTGCTAAGCAACCGGACGGCCCGCAGGGTACGGCACTTTTGCCAGTTTGACGTAGTTTTGCTTTTGGGTGTTCCCGCTCTTCACCGTGGGGGTCTCACCGAGGTCGCTGCTCATTTTCATCGTGGTTCACCTACAGCTGCCGGAGAACAGGGCCGGAGGACCTGCACACAGGTAGGGGTGTGGTCTACTCTGGACTAAGGTCCACCTACTTTTTTTATTTATACTTTGTCATATAGTTTAGAATGCAAACTTGATACAATACTTACCCGCAGTCCGTAAGACTAACCCTTGGTGATAAACCCAGAGTGCCTAACCAATCATTTCTAACCCTTTGATCCTAACCCATAGTCCTAACCCAAAATATCTGACCCGCAATTCCTAACCTGAACCTGTAGTCGTTAAATTCTGACGCGGACCAGTGTCTTTAAAACTATCCCTCATTTATAGTCCTGTCAGTAACCCATCGTCCCAATCCCGTCGTCGTTGCCCCTAACCCGTCGTCCTTAAGGCATTGTTTCTCACTTATACTCACCCACCCTTCATCTTCTTAAATAATCCCATCATTCCTCACACTTTTGTCCCCAACTCCAAAGTATGGTCCATCACCCTTAGTCCTTAGCTCATATTTACAAAATCGAACCCGTTGTCCTTAATCCAAACGTAATTCATCGTATCTAAAACTTCACCCACTTCATCGTCCTAACTGATAGCCCCGCAGTTCCTGTCTCTAACCCATAGTCTCGACTCCTATTACACTACTCAGTCCCTAAAGTAGTTGACCAAAGTTTAACGGTCCGAAGATTGGCTCCATTTTTTATTTTTTTTTTAACCACTGGTTTTTGATTGTAAATCCACCGTAGTGCTCAATTGTTGTGTGAAAATCCAGCGGCTTCTGAATTAAGTGGTGTCGGCCCAGCACTTTATTTTTATTGCCGAATGTTTTTTTCTTTTTCTGCACTCAAGTCCTTTAGGGGGACAGAGAAGACAAGCGGGGTGTGACTCAAAGATAGAACAGTCATAGTTCTTCCTAACGGCCGATTATCTGTCCGGAGCCATGAGTCTGCACTTCAAATTAGAGGGACCTTATGTTCTCGTCACTTCTCCCCGATGTTTTACCGTTGATATTCAAATTGTGACTGCCTTGACTGACGCTTTCACAAATGACAATAAAGCTAACTTTTTTCCCCCCCTCCCCACATTTGTCCTTCAAAGGTAATGTACAAAAAGTAGCTGAGAGTGTCAACCCAGAACGCAGCAATGGATACCAGATTCACTTGTGACGAGGTTGGTTTTCTGTTTGTCACCAGCGGCTATCATTTCACATGAAAATCTGTTTGATCGGCCAAATTTCAAACAACCCCCCCCCCACCTCTTCATGAAATCCTTTCTCCTCCCTTACAGGACAGTGACATGTCATATGAAGACCGTGATTCCGAATTCCTCCCCTCCCCACTGAGAATGTGAGTCCCAGAGTCCTTAGCAACACTATAACAAATTACACGCGACACGCAGTCTCTTACAATTTACGGAAATATATGTGAACACAGCGGCAAAAATAGTCAGCAGCGCAGTGTCGAATGTCTACAGTCTGACAGCAATGAGCATTTTCTCAAACCTTCTATGGTCGAATGAGATTTGCTTCCCTCTTGTGGTCACAATTGTGAAGCGCAGCTTAGTTGCTGAGGGTTCAGCTTGAAAATAGATAGGTACATGCTGCCCTCGTGTGGCCACAGCGATTATTGCAGCGTCTTGATGTCTTATTTGATGTACAGTACTCAAAAGAGGAGTACTGTGTCTTAAAACTGGACCAAATTGTCAAGGTGGAATATGATGTCCGTAAAATGGACTAGAATGTCCAAATTTTCATAAAGAGGACAAGCACATCCTCCTCACGATCGTTCTCATGTGGCGTTACTGAGTGCAAGTTTACATTTCTCCCCACCAGGAGGACTCCAGCGGACCGTGGTGATGTGGAGAACGCGAGGAACGTGGATGATACGCCCCTTGAAACATACATTATTCCCCGCGATTCAGGAGGTAGGCTCCTCTCAGCTGCCTCTTGTGACTTTTTCTTTAATTTTCCATGTGGTTCTTTCAGCAAACCTCAACCTGAACACCAACGCCACCACCAGAGGTGACGCTCAGGTCAGTCTGTACTCCTAAAACCATGTTCGTAGTCGCTGTTGTTCACTACCTGACCGGACTATCTGGGCCGCAGGCATACGTTGAATTGAACGAGCTCCGGGGAAACACCTGGCAGGAGACGGGCCGCTGGGTGGGCTTTGAGGAGAATTTCAATGCCGCCACGGGGAAGTGGGGTGCTTCGCACACATCCTACCTGACCTTCAAGAGTCTCATCCAGCTTCGCAAGACTATGAGCACAGGTGACTTTGGAAAGCCTTCATAAATGAGGGGCTGAAGTTGACCAATCAATCAAAAAGCCTTTAAAATACATCCAAAATGTTCTTCAAGTAGATTATGTCCTAAAATGAGCTAAATTGTCCTAAAAGTTGATTAGAATGTTCAAAAACTAGATTACACACAAAAAAAAATCTCAAAAGTTAAAAAGAGTGTTCTCAAAGTGGACCATAATGACCTCTTTGAGGATCAAAACGCTTGTAAAATAGATCAGAATTATCTAGCTATCAATGAGGTCTTTCTTTTTTTTTCTGACATTGGTGTTACGCACACAGGTGCTATCATCTTTGACCTCAACGCCAGTAGTTTGTCATCTATCGCCGAGAAGGTGGTGGACGCGCTCGTCAACAAGAATGAGATCCGAGCTAGCGATCGGGATTCTTTGCTGAGAGCCCTCCTCATGCAACGCAGGTAAGCAGCTTGTCTCATTTCCATGAATCGTTAGCCGGTTGTCTTCTTGCTGTACGTGATACATGAAACTTTTTTTTTTTTTAATGGCATTGTGACAATTACATACAGTGGCGTTAACCAATCAAATAGTCCTTTGTACAGGAAAAATGGGTCAAAGGCAAAATAAATCAATCAATCTTTGTGTTCTTCCCTCCAGTCAGTCTCAGAGACCTGCGGTGTCCCCCTCAGGAGACATCGAAATGCAGACCTTCTCTGTTTCTACAAAGGTATAAGTCCTCATTTTGGCGGCCCCATACCTTGAAACTACCACACGCATCACAGCTTCTTTTTTTTTTTCTTTCCAGAGGGACAACTCTGACAACATGGAAGCCTCCATCGTCCTCTCAGGTATCACCACAGCACATTCAAATATTTGGATTTTTAGAGCTCGAACTGAATTTTTTTTCCCAAAGGTGCCCTGGATCTTCTGGAGAAGCCGGTGGTGGCTTTCGTCCGGCTGAGAGACTCCGTGGTGATGGATTCTGCGATGGAATGTTCTGTCCCCGTGCGCTTTGTGTTTGTCCTGGTGGGCCCGAGCCAGAGCGGCATGGACTACAGCGAGAGCGGTCGCGCGATGGGCGCTCTGATGGCTGACTGGGTGAGGAAAAAGTGATAACGGCAATCGTCTTTATTATTTCCGAAGGAGTCGACTCAAGGCAATTCGTGAAGAGAAATGATCTCGAGGCACCTTACACACACTTGTATTAAGTTTATACAGTCCAGACTGTATAAGACAACCAACTGGAGGCCACACGAGCAAGCATTTGGGAAAAACTACACCTCGGACAGAACCAAGACTTTGCGGAGTGAACTTTTTTCGTAGCCGATTGGATTGACATGGAGAGAGAATAGAAAGATTGAGAGACAGAGAGCGAAAACGGGCAAGGAGTGTGAGAAACCTTTGTCGGGTCGAGAGAACAATGGGCACAACAACAGTCTTATCAACAAGAGTAACAGGAGTTCACGTTCTCCGCTTTGCCGCGCTGCAGGTGTTCTGTCTGGAGGCTTTCCTGGCGCAGACCGACCAGGATCTGACCAACGCCATTGCCGACTTCATGGATTGCAGTATCGTCATCCCCCCCACGGAGATCCAAGACCTGGGGATGCTGGAGCCCGTCATCAAGTTCCAGAAGAAGATGCTGCAGGATCGACTGCGCCCCAGCGACAATCGTCTGGCCTTTGGTGACAGAATTAAAGGTAAGACAAAGTCCGACAAGGCTTGACCATCAAACTTCAGCGTCAATTTGACGTGTCCAGTTACGAAACCCCCGGAGCCGCCAAGAGAAGACCCCCTGGCCCGCACTGGGTATCCTTTTGGCGGTATGATCAAAGACATCAAGCGTCGATACCGCCACTACGTCAGCGACTACACGGATGCCCTCAACCCTCAAGTCATGGCCGCCATCATCTTCATCTACTTTGCCGCCCTGTCGCCAGCCATCACCTTCGGAGGACTTTTAGGTAGGACTTTTAGGACCCCGAAGAGTAACGCGGTGTCTTTAGGTGTGCCGGTTGATATTGAGTTTTGGGGGTTTGGGTCACCGTTCCTGGAACCTGAAGATTATTTTCTGACCACTTCAATATTTTTCATTGATGCTCTCTGTGTGCCCCTGTGCCGAACGGCCCATTGGTCCAATATCTATTTCACTTTGCTAAATCCCTCTAAAGTGAAAACAAATATGTCCTCTCGATTTGACATCACAGAGAAGACGATTGTGAGCAGCGTGCCAAATTTGAACGAAAAATCAACATGTACCATTGAGAAAATGAGACTTCAAAAATGGTGAAAAATAAAGCCTTTCTCTCCGCTCTCAAATGCTGGGTGCGTGTCCGCCAAATGTGCCGAAGCCGCTCAGCTGACAACGACCGATTCTACAACCCGGAAAATTGATTCTAGTTTATTGAGCATCGAGTACAACTATTAACCCGGCGGACTTGATTTGGGACTCGGTAAAGAAGAGTAAAGGCAGAGTTTGGCAACGAGTCTGCAACAAATGTGCTCTGAAGCAGGCACACCAGCATGAATCCCCCCATCCACATACAGGCTGTCGTATAGAACATTCTAAATATTTTTTTTAAATCACTCAACAGGGCATTTAACCGTTCTTTTTTGTCTCAGCCGATAAATCCGAGAAGATGATGGGTGTGTCAGAGCTGATGATCTCCACGAGCATCCAGGGCATCATTTTCTGCATCTTCGCCGCGCAGCCCGTCCTGGTGCTCGGTTTTTCCGGACCACTGTTGCTCTTTGAAGAGGCTTTTTACACTGTACGAGTCCACCACCACGAGTACCACTATTGCCTCCTTGTGCCTCGTCCTCATACGTTGATGCCTTGTCCATCCCGTGCTTTTTTAGTTTTGCAAAGCCAGGGGGCTTGAATACATTGTGGGTCGCGTCTGGGTGGGCATGTGGCTCATCGTGATTGTGGTGATCATCGTGGCGGTGGAAGGCAGTTTCCTGGTGCGCTACATCTCCCGCTTCACCCAGGAAATCTTCTCCATCCTCATCTCGCTCATCTTCATCTACGAGACCTTCAGTAAACTCTTTAAGGTTTCCCACTTTTCCCGCTCATCTTCTCATCGTCTCAAACATCGGCTTAGACGTGCGCTGGGACTGCAGCCTACCATCCCGAATTTATACCCTCGATGCTTAATCCTCATCTTTGTCCATGTCCCTTACTCCTCACATTTACCCATGACCCTTCCCTCAATCCTCATGGCAAACCCTGAACCACTTCTCTTTATTTACCCTTACCCGAACCCTTGCCAGTAGCCATGATCCGAAACGTAACCATTCTCGTATCTCTCACCCTTCACCCTCACGCTGAACCCTTATGTACGTACACGTATCCCTTACCTATGACTAAACCTGACCCGAACGCCTTTCCCCCAAGCCAGCATCCCTTAACCAAATCTTTACCTTTAATTCTAATCCTTGTTCATAACCTTTACTAAACTCCTCACCTACCTTTACTTCATCTCTAACCCTGGACCCCAAACCACTGGAGCCTCTAATCGCTGTTCTTTAGCCGTATGGCTGAAACCGTCACCTGTAAGCCTAACTCTTCGCCTTACGGTGTCAACTCCTGCGCAGATCTTCAAGAACCATCCTTTGTCGCTGAACTACAAAACACTGAACGCAACCCTGGAGAGGCCCTTTCACACCATCTACAACAAGACTTCCAACGGCACCGTTGTCATCCAGAACGTGCCAGTCCAGGGTCCCTTCCCCAACACCGCGCTGTTATCCCTGTGCCTGATGTTGGGCTGCTTCTTCATCGCCTACTTCCTGCGCCAGTTCAAGAATGGCACTTACCTGCCGGGTTGGGTAAGTCACCGCCTCCGACTTCAAATCTGGTCTCGCGGCGTTTTCCTGACCGGTCTCCTCGTCACAGCTGCGACGCCTGATTGGAGATTTTGGGGTCCCCATCGCCATTTTTGCCATGGTTGCTGTGGATGTCAGTATTGACGACACTTACACTCAGGTAAGTGATTTAAGAGTACGGTATTCCGTGTCGTGTGGACTAGTGAGGAAGGTACATCACTCTCTTGCAGAAACTGGTCGTGCCAAAAGGTGTCCAGGTGACTAACCCCGCCGCCCGTGGCTGGTTTATCAACCCTATGGGGTCCCCTTCCCATGAGGCCTTCCCCGTTTGGATGATGGCCGCCTCCTGCGTACCGGCACTGCTTGTCTTTATCCTCATCTTCCTCGAGTCACAGATTACCACGTGTGTGACAGTCAAACTGCACTTCAACATTTTGTTTTGTTTTTTTGTGTGTATGGTTGTTGAAATGTCGCTGTTTCGTCCTCCTCTAGGCTGATTGTTAGCAAACCGGAGAGGAAGATGGTTAAAGGTTCCGGTTTTCATTTCGACCTGCTCCTCCTGGTCACCATGGGTGGCATCTCATCTATTTTTGGGGTTCCCTGGCTGAGCGCCGCCACGGTGCGCTCCGTCACGCACGCCAATGCTCTCACCGTCATGTCCAAGGGCCCCAAACCCGAGATCGAGAAGGTGGTGGAGCAACGGATCAGCGGCATTCTAGTCGCCATCTTGGTTGGTAAGTTCATGGGGTTGATCTTAGACTGAGTAAAGTTGGAGACATGGCCAAATGGTCACAGGCCTCTTCCTTCAAAGCGTTCAGATTTTTCACACCTTAACGAACGCTGGAGTAACGTGTTGGTAATCTAATGAAACCCTGTGTTAGTCTCCCATGATTCACTGAGGCAAGGGACACAACTGAAGTAATACATGTAAAAAATTTCCATCACATTATATACTAAATTTCTCCGTTCCAGGTGTCTCTATTTACATGGAGCCCTTACTGAAGATGATCCCCATGACGGCCCTGTTCGGAATCTTCCTTTACATGGGTGTCACTTCTTTGAGCGGAATCCAAATGTGGGATCGGATGCTTCTGTTGATTACACCCAAAAAATACCACCCGTCCGACGCCTATGCCACCAAGGTATAAACATTCTTGCAAGTCACTCCTCTTCTTTTTCTGAACATATAGGCCTTCAATGCCACTGTAGTTTAATGTTGGTCATAGTGGCAGTACTTGGGAGTACAAAGCTACGTTTTGTTTTTAGGTGGTACTTGGTGTCAAATGTAAAACAGTCTACTGACGTGTTGTTTGCGTAGGTGTCGACGATGCGCATGCACCTTTTCACGCTGATCCAGCTGGTGTGTTTGGCTGTGCTCTGGGTGGTGAAGATGAGCCCCTTCTCCCTGGCACTGCCCTTCATCCTGCTGCTCACTGTGCCACTGCGCATGTTCATGACTGGCACGCTCTTCACGAACCTGGAAATGAAATGTGTAAGTTCTTCAGGCCGTCCCAAATCATTTGTAGATGAGGTTAAAGAAATGCGTTTTACATGTTCATATGTGTTACAGCTGGATGCGGATGATGCTAAGGTGAAGATTGAGGAAGACATTGGTGAGGATGCATACACTGAGTCCCCACTTCCATGAGTGAAAACAACCTCAATTCAAAAGAATAGCCACTGATTCATTTATTTTTATTTTTTGGGAGTGGGGGGCGGGGGGTATCTTTCAAAACTCACTATTTCAAGCTTCATCCTATCATGCAGCATAACTTGGGCATTACTTTGGTTCACCATTGCAAGTGATACAAATGGCATTGGTTCTTTTAGATGTAGATTTTTCTCTCACATGTATTTTATTTGTTATCCTTTGAAAGGTGATATAAAATGAATTATATGTATTGTTTTTAATTGAAGTGAGCAGGATATTTATTATTCACAAATTCACATATGAAGTTACTTTTTTTTTTTTTTGCTTTGTGTTGCTGGTTGGTCAAGTTGTCATTTAAGGGTATTTTCTGTCAAGTCCAAAAATTTAGCATTGTATTTTAGACATACCCTGTTGTATCTGAAGTGAATGAATGTTTTTGACAGAGAACATTAATATGTGAAAGTTTTGCTTCTCTCTGTCTGTACATGCATAGGATTTAACATGAATAAACTGATAAATGTTTTCCCGAGTTGTTTATCCTGATTTGCATTCATTTATTTTATGGCAAACAATATACTACAATAAAACACAAAATGATTTTAATAACAACCAAATTAAACGTCTGCATAAACACAATAAAGCAGTGCGCTCGGGCGTCAACGTTTGTGCTTTATTGAAGTTGTACTTTAGATTGTTAGTAAACTTTGAAAGCAGCACATTTCAAACGTATAAAACGAAAAGATGAGACTCTATGTGACGATTCGAACAATCAAACGTTACGCTCACCGCTCAAAAGCTTTGTTTAGAAGTATTTTAATCGGTAAAGCACATAAAAAACATCGCCTGTAGCATTTGAAATGTAAATATGCCCGACAGCAAGCGAACGCATCGCTGTTTAACATGGCCCAGAAGCCTGGGAACTGTTGGTTTTCCTCACCGGGTTGCCGCGATTGGACGGCCCGGTGTTCCGCCCACAAACACAAGGTGGAGTTGGAAAAAGGAAAAGGAAAAAAAATACATGCTGATCTAATATATGAAGCTGTCAAACAGCCATCGACAATTTCGAAAACGAGCATTCCCTTTAACGTATAAAGGCACCTAGGTCCATATAGTAACACACCAGTGGGTAGACATCCCAAAAATATTAATTATGATAATAATGACGCAAAACCAATACATGAGATGTCTAACCATCTCAGGTTCGAGATTTGAGGTTAGTCAAATGATGCGAACTTTCGGTGTTGGAAGCTCGTTCGGTTTGCCCCGTCAAAGTGTTGCAAACATGGGCAGCGAAGCGGACATGATGGCCGGTGTTCGGTCCGGGTCGGTCGGATCGTCCCCTTCAGATGTAAAAATGCGATGGCGGCTGACGGAAACGACGGCGGTGGCGTCGGTCCGACAACATGGAAGACGCCTCGGCCTCGTGCAACGGTTGGGTGGGGAGTGGGAAGCTTGCTTCGCGTTGACTGGAGGGAGACGGCGAGTGCGATGGAGGCGGGGGAAGAATCATCTCTGCGGGGACTGGAGCCGAGGACCGACGGCGCAGTACTGGCGATCGTTCAACCCTCCCCTTCTTCCTCCACAACGACGCCGAGAAGCAGCTAGGTAAGCCCAAGCCGAGCCACCCCCCGCTCGGTTCGAAACGCGATACGATTGCGCCACAAACGAGTGACTTAAATTCGCTTGTCTGACCGTAAATGTAGCATTTTATACGTGTGGAAAACGCGGCTCGGTTGACGGTCCCCCTTTGTACTCGACCAACGGCGGTGGTTCAGGGGACAGACGAGGTCGGCCATAGCCGTATTTCTTGTCCTCTGCGGCTGGGGGGGAGAGACTTGTGGACACGAGGCCTGGAGGTAACTATATGTTCAAATGACAATCTAGTTGTGGTTAAGACTATTTCCTCGGTGGATGTTAATGCATTTTTGATTTCGTGGGAGCTCGCGGCACTTTCCACGCGGAGATCTCCATGCGGCAGTTGGCAGAAGAGCCAGCCGCCCCTCACGGTTAGCCATCAGGGATCTTGGTTTAATATCTCGCCGCCCTCTCTCTCCCCCTTCCCTCTCCCCGACCAGCCCCGGACTACCGATCTCCTCGGTGAACCCGCCTTTCTCGTCGTCGCTTTTCGGCTCGACAAAAGGGAACTCCGCGGTTGAGTTTTAAGCTTTGTCCGTTTTTTGTCTTGTTTTCACCGGCCGCTATTTGGACCTTGTCACGGTAGGTTTGCTCGGAAGCATGGCGGTCGTCGGAGCTTGTTTGTGGCGCCACGGAACCTTCCCGGTCTTCGATGTTACCTTAGCCCCCTTTAAACATGCACAATGTTAAACTGAAAGCTATGGTTTATCGACATATTCAGAAAATTTACATGGATTAAAAAAAAAACAACAACACTGTTTTAGAGTAGCCCTTATTTACTATTTTTCGCAGTTCCCCGTCTTTGTGGCACATCCAGCCCTTACCACCACAACGTTCATAGCCGACCCATGTGTGGAAACGTGTACGTTGTCGGATTTTATATTACCGTCATTTTAAAACGTGTTCGAGGTATGTGCATTTTGGAAATGGCTCACGGCGACCGTTGCGGTGGGTATTCGTAAATTTTAGGATAAAATTCAATTCTCCCGAAAACAGCGTCCAATGCTGTCCTATCGCCTTGAAAACGGCCCCAATACCGCTCTTTAGTATAGTTAATGCAGCACGATGTTCAAACGTGAAAAGAGTTCAGTTCTTTTGAAACGGTAGCCCGGTACCGAAATGTTCGGCCCCGCTGGTTCGCCCCCCGGCTGGTGCTTTTCGAGCTAACAGGCTAGCCGGAGCCATCAAGGACACGACGAACAACGAGCATCCGCCATCATGGAAGCGCCGCTCGGTTACGCCTCGCTGAAGAATAAACCACGGTTGCGTTGTCAGTTCTTGAATAAAACCACACACAAACACGTATGCCACAAAAAAAAAAAACATTTTGTTAACCGTAAACGACAACATGTCGTCATTCTTCCGTTTTATGGTCGAGATTAGTGTCTGGCGCTGCGGAGCTAGATCCGTGGGTGATGAGGCTCCCGTGGCGCAGTGATAGCCGCCATTGTGGCCCTGATGGTCGGACAGCAAAAGCAGATCCCCCGTGGTCAGCTGGTCGCCTGCAGCTGCCTGTCCGTCCACCCGCTTCCTTCCTTCCTTTTGTGGATCCACCCAAACCCCTCGACTCCCCCACTCAAAAATCCTCCATGAGCGAGCAGGCCCAGGCGTTGAAAATGGTCGTTGCGTGCAGCGATAACGTTGAAAGGGAGGGAGGGGGAAAGAAGGCGAAATTCCGTGTGGGTGAAAAGTAGCTAGACGGGGAGTGGGAGCTAAGCCGTTGCTACTTGTTAGCCCTCCGCTGTGTTATTTGAGATTGGGAGCAGTCACAAGCTATCGCCGGTGTGTGTGTGCGTGTGTGTGTGTGTATGCGCGCGCGCGCCCTGAACGCCGAGCGTAAACGTTTAAGGGGCGGTGTGATGAATATAAGCCATTATGTCGACGGGCATTTCCCATTCAACTCTCCCGTTGGAATGCCCATTCACATCACATTCCCACGTTTGTTGTCACCGAACGAGCATTGAATGCTTGCGATTTCTCATTAAAATGCAGTGAACCCTCTCCATTTGTTAAGGTTAGGAACCAAGTTAATGGAGGCGTCCCCTAAAATATTTAGGATTTGCCTATTTTTAATGGTGCGAACCGTAAATATACTTCATACTTTTGAGACCAAAACAAATTTTCAAGCTCATCGTAGAACAGTGACTTGAAAAACAAATGGCTTATATATTATCTTACAGTGTTTCTGTATGGCACTACTTCACAACCAGTAAAAAAAAATAAACGTTTCCTATTACCGACGTAGGACGTTTTTTTTTTAAATTCAGTGATACCATCATTATGGTGTGTGGCAGCACATATGAAATGAACGGGTTTATCGACAGCGCAATGTGTTGTACTCACTGCAAAAAAAAAAAACATTTTGTTAACCGTAAACGACAACATGTCGTCATTCTTCCGTTTTATGGTCGAGATTAGTGTCTGGCGCTGCGGAGCTAGATCCGTGGGTGATGAGGCTCCCGTGGCGCAGTGATAGCCGCCATTGTGGCCCTGATGGTCGGACAGCAAAAGCAGATCCCCCGTGGTCAGCTGGTCGCCTGCAGCTGCCTGTCCGTCCACCCGCTTCCTTCCTTCCTTTTGTGGATCCACCCAAACCCCTCGACTCCCCCACTCAAAAATCCTCCATGAGCGAGCAGGCCCAGGCGTTGAAAATGGTCGTTGCGTGCAGCGATAACGTTGAAAGGGAGGGAGGGGGAAAGAAGGCGAAATTCCGTGTGGGTGAAAAGTAGCTAGACGGGGAGTGGGAGCTAAGCCGTTGCTACTTGTTAGCCCTCCGCTGTGTTATTTGAGATTGGGAGCAGTCACAAGCTATCGCCGGTGTGTGTGTGCGTGTGTGTGTGTGTATGCGCGCGCGCGCCCTGAACGCCGAGCGTAAACGTTTAAGGGGCGGTGTGATGAATATAAGCCATTATGTCGACGGGCATTTCCCATTCAACTCTCCCGTTGGAATGCCCATTCACATCACATTCCCACGTTTGTTGTCACCGAACGAGCATTGAATGCTTGCGATTTCTCATTAAAATGCAGTGAACCCTCTCCATTTGTTAAGGTTAGGAACCAAGTTAATGGAGGCGTCCCCTAAAATATTTAGGATTTGCCTATTTTTAATGGTGCGAACCGTAAATATACTTCATACTTTTGAGACCAAAACAAATTTTCAAGCTCATCGTAGAACAGTGACTTGAAAAACAAATGGCTTATATATTATCTTACAGTGTTTCTGTATGGCACTACTTCACAACCAGTAAAAAAAAATAAACGTTTCCTATTACCGACGTAGGACGTTTTTTTTTTAAATTCAGTGATACCATCATTATGGTGTGTGGCAGCACATATGAAATGAACGGGTTTATCGACAGCGCAATGTGTTGTACTCACTGCAGTGTGAAAACAACTTTAGAGAGAGCGTTTGTGTGGCATCTTAGGGTGTTAAAGAAAGACCACAAAAATACATGGATCAGGTGTGAATAGGCATTGTGGTCCATATAAAAAATTGTGAGCAGTTGAGATTGCAAAGGGTGAATTGAGTGTACTCCTTCAAATACATGATAATGGTAATAACTGGAATTATTTCCCCAGACTAAATCTAGGATAACCCACAAATGAATGGAGACATGGAGGCAACATCCCAACATCAATGTAAGTGCTCGGCTCAATTCTAATCTCATTTAAAGTTGTCAAATTTATACTTGACTAAAATAATTTAGACGACGTATAATTGAATGTTGTGCTGTAGTGTGGGCGCAGGACGACATGCTCCAGTTGCTGGAGGCCATGAAGTTGGCACTGCCACAGAAGGACCTGACCAAGTACAAGACGTCTGAGTCCCACCTGGACTGGCAGAAGGTGGCCTTCAACTCCTACACGGCCGAGATGTGCAAGCTGAAGTGGCAGGAGGTCTCCAAAGAGGTGAGCCTGCCGGGGTTTATGCATTATGTTTGGAAAAGGACAGTTGCATGATTCATTGTGTTTTTATCTGACTTGACAACAGATCCGTAAATTCCGGACCCTCACAGAGCTGATTTTTGATGCTCAGGATTATATCAAGAACCCATATAAAGGCAAGAAACTAAAGGTGAGCTAAGAAGGCTTCTTTTTGTTTCATTTTTAATTACTATGCACATAAGTTAGCGGTTTATGGAGCAGACTGGTTTTGTTCTCGTTTTGCCACATACATACAAATACGGGAGAAAACAATCTGCCAACCTTGAATAAACTCCATCAAATGTGGCGACCACAAGTCCGCGGTTTACAGTACTCAAGAACCTCTTTTCCCGATGGCTGTGACAGAAACACCCGGATTTCCCGAAAAAGCCCCTGACGCCATATTTCCGCTTCTTCATGGAGAAGAGGGCCAAGTATGCAAAGTTGCATCCGGAAATGAGCAACTTGGATCTGACCAAGATCTTGTCCAAGAAGTACCGTGAGCTGCCGGACAAAAAAAAGGTGACAGTCGGAGACGTTTCAGTTTTGAAATGAAAAAGGAAACCAGCTTTTAAACGTGTTTCGATTCTTTCACAATGTAGAAAAAATATGTGGACGACTTTTTGAAGGACAAAGAGACATTTGTGCACAGCATGATGAGGTTCAGGTGAGGTCATCGATGAGTATTTTGCTGCCTCTACTCAGACACAACCTTTTGAAGACGTTTACCTTTTTTTCCAGGGAGGATCACCCGGAGCTTATGGAAAGCATGACTAAGAAAGGCTCAAATGTTCCAGAGAAGGCCAAAACGCCCCAACAGCTGTGGTACAACCATGAAAAGAAGGCCTTCCTCAAAGGCCACCCAGACGTAATTTTTTTTTTTTTTTTCTTTGTTGCCCATTCACTGCGTCTCATCTGAGCTCACAGTGACCTCTGCTGTTCTTCTCTAGGCTACCACAAAGGATATCAAGGATTGCCTCGGCAAGCAGTGGACGCAGCTGTCAGACAAAAAGAGACTCAAGTGGATCGCCAAGTCGCTCGAGCAGCAAAAGCAGTACGAGGTGAGTGGGGAAACGGATTGAAGGATGCAGCATATCATTTGTCTAATCCAGGACAACAGTGATGTGTCTCGGTTTGTCTTAATTTGGGGAAGTTAGGGGCTTGCTGGTGTCATTTTTGTTATTCCCGGACTTGATAAAAGAAGCAAAAGACTTTGCGTTTTGTACTAATTTTGGGTTCAGTTGTGACATTTTCTTCCCTGGTTGCTTTTAATGGAGCGGTTTTCGTTTCAGACTAGCCACTTTGGCCTGCAAAGTGGGATCTGCTTAGTTCGACCAAACTGCGTCATTTGGCTTCCCAAGTCCAAAATTGTGGCTTTGATATTTTCAGGAGACAATGCGCGAGTACATTCAGCAGCACCCCGAGATGAACCTGACCCAGGGGGACATCGTCAGGTCCACGTTGACCAAAGCCGAGAGGCACCTGAAGGACAAATCTGACGGGCGGCCCGACAAACCCCCTCCGTGAGTCACCGCTGCCCTTTTCCGTTCCAATACCTTCGTCAGAGAAAGAGGGTAGGGTGCTCATCATTTCATTCCTTCCAGGAACGGTTACTCCATGTTTTGCGCCGAGCTGATGTCCAGCATGAAGGACGTGCCCAGCACCGAGCGCATGGTCATGTGCAGCCAGCGCTGGAAGCTGCTCAAGCAAAATGAGAAGGACGCCTACCAGAAACGCTGTGAGCAGGTGATGCAAAAGAGTGGCCTCTGACAAGATCGCTTCTCTTCATATTTGCTTTCAACGTATCTTTTTTTTTCTCTCTCTCTCTTTCTCTCTGTAGAGGAAGAAGGAGTATGAAATTGAGATGAACAGATTCCTCAGCGTAAGTTCCTTTCATGCCATGCTTGTATTTCTTAATTCGTTATGAAAACACATTTTAAGGTTTTTTTCATTGTCGCATCTCTTCAGAGTTTGTCTGAGGAGGAACAGCAAAGGGTCTTGGGTGAGGAAAAGGTGGGCTTCAAGAGAGGCAGCGTGGCCAACAGCCCTGCGTCCAAAAAGAAGAACTCCAAAGCTAAGGTGCCAAGAGTGTGAAGACTTCCTTTTTTTATCCTCCCCACATGTTTTTGAGGAGCAATCGCATTTTCTAATGTTGTCCTTTTGATCGATTTGCAGGGCAACCCGGAAAAACCCAAGCGGCCCATCTCGGCCATGTTCATCTTCTCCGAGGAGAAGCGTCCCAAGCTGCACCAGGAGCGTCCGGATCTCTCGGAAAGCGAGCTCACACGACTGCTGGCACGCATGTGGAACGAGCTTCCGGACAAGAAAAAGGTAGGATTTGGCAAAAGGGCCACTAAAAGGGACTGCGGTTAAACGTCTAGGCCTGAGCTACGTTCTTGTTCTTTATGCAGGAAAAGTACAAACGGCTGGAGGCGGTCTTAAAGGCGGAGTCAGAGAAAAAGGAGGACCGCAGTCTGCCCGACCCACCCAAGACGGCGCAGGACATCTGGCAGCAGAGCGTTATCGGAGACTACCTGGCGAGATTTAAGGTGGGCAATTTACAAACAGGTGGCTCTTTATTAAGCTTTCATTTTTACAAAATTGAGCACTTGATTATCCTTATTTGCACCGTCTCAAATTTTTGCGGCAAACTGCCAGCATTTAGGGGCAGTTGGAGGCATGCCTTGAGGGATTCACAATAGTACAATTTACATCATTTTATGAAATGCCCCATGCTTACTGCGTATTTAACTGAGGATATGCGCACTGCAGAACGACCGTCCCAAGGCTCAGAAGGCGATGGAGGCCACTTGGAGCACCATGGAAAAGAAGGAAAAGATTATGTGGATCAAAAAGGCGGCAGAAGACCAGAAAAGATATGAGGTGGAACAGCGTCGCGCCGGCCTCAGCCTGGCAGCGGCATCTGACGCGGTGGCGGCTAACCACCATTCTGACTGTCGTCCACAGCGAGACCTGTGCGAGATGCGTTCGCCCGTCGCTACCGCCGTGGCCTCGGGGAAGAAGATGAAGTTCGAGGGCGAGCCCAAGAAGCCGCCGTCGTGAGTTGCATTTGCCGTTTGTCACGGGGCCTTTCCGCCTTGCTTGAGCTGACATCCTGTCTTGTCTCAGAAACGGGTACCAGAAGTTCTCTCAGGAGATGCTGTCCAATGGCGAGCTCAACCACCTGCCCATGAAGGAGAGGATGACGGAGATCGGCAGCCGCTGGCAGAGGCTGCCTCTCAAGGACAAGGACCGCTACAAAAAGATTGCAGAGGAGATGCAGAGGCAGTACAAAGTGCTGCTTGAGCAGTGGCTCGCCGTGAGTGCTCTTTAAACATTTTACCATTTGATGCTGTGTCTGCTGAAAGGAAACCAAAAAAAAAAAAAAAAAATCTTCTAAAATGCGTCTTCCCTTCTCCCAGAGCGTTTCTTCTCAAGTGAGGAACACCTACAAAGAGTACAACTCACAGGTGAGTCAGGAATCGTCAACCGCAACAGGGAATGAGAAACTGCTTTATTTTATCGTGGCTTTTTATTGAAACGTGTGTCCTCTTGATCTTCCAGAAGAGGAAAGCCCCGGCAAAACCAGGAGGCCCCAAGCCCAAGGCCAAGAAATCTGTGAGTTTTCCAAATTTTATATGGAGCGCCAACCCACCAAAAATCATCACCCCCAAACATTTGAAAGACTTTGTGACAAAAGTTACCCTTTTCCCTGTATGCCTTTCCAATAGGGCTGGGCAGTTAATCAAAATTTAATTGTGATTTTGATTTTAGCTTCTCTCGATCTTAAAAACATAACAACCGAAGAAAAAGGGTTCATGTTACAAATGGTTGAAGTGAACTCGTGTGCGCTCAGAGCATACAGGTATTTCCACCGTGAGCGTAAGCTGAGCGTAAGCCACCATCTATGGCTTCCCCACAGGACACTGAGGACAACGATGACGATGATGACGACGACGACGATGATGATGATGAAGATGAAGATGATGACGAAAAGGACAGGGCTTCCTCTGAAGGGGCATCCTCCAGTGAAGATGACGATGATGACGATGACGTAAGTTGCGTTGCAATAAATGATTTATAAGGTGACAAAAATGGGACATCATGTGGGAAAAAAAAACACATTACATGGAAAATTGTGTTGTATTCTATAAATTCTCATTGGGATTCGTTCTCACACCTCAGTTAAAAAAAAATCTTCTCTACATATATAACTCCAAATTGTTTATCCAATCTGAAATTAATGACAAACATCCATGGTGACATCTGGCTGTTACACGTTTGTGTTGAAGAAGGATGACGATGATGACGACGACGACGACGAGGATGACGAAGACGAGGTGGACGACAAGGAGAACAAGTCAGAAGACAGCAGCAGCGAGTCCAACTCGGGCGGCTCCTCAGACTCGGACTCAGACTGAAGGGCGGCGGCCATTGTCGCCAGGGGCACCGGGGGCGGGACCGCCGTGACGGCGGGACAGACCAAGCTGAGCCACGGGGGTTCATCCAGGAGGGAGTGAGCACTGCCACTGTGCCAACCCCTGCCCAAGCCACCTCCGTTTCACACGCCCACTTTTTTGTTGTTGCTGTTGTTGTTTTTGGATTCCCTTCAGTCCCTCACCCAGTTTTAGTCAGACCCGCATCCCACTGGTTTGGCGATGTTCTGAACTGACACTTCCTTATTATTTTTTTTTTGTATTATAATTTTTTTTTATTTTTACGTTTTAAAACAATGTCTCCCATTTTATTTGATTGTTCCGCAGGGACGAGCCAGGCTTCTCGCAGCCAAAGAACACGACGACCGGGTGGGACACTTAAAGCAGGGAGAGGGGCGGGCAGGATGCGAGGGTGTTTGTACTGGAAAAATTGCACTCTTAAGAATGTTTCCTTGTTAATACTTTTTTCCCCTCTCTCTCATTTTTCTCTGCTTTTGATTTTATCCTGTTCAGTTCTTAAATAGGTGGTATTTTTTCAGAAATTAAAAAAAAAAAACAACGAAGAAGAAGCCATGATGAATGTTTTGTTGTTGTTGTTGTCGTCATTGCTGGAACGTAGTTTAAAATGCTGCAGTGCACATAAGTTTTTCGATCCCGCTTTTTAAAAAAAAAAATCATTTTTCTTCTTTCCTACTTGTTGATTGGCCGCCATTGTACTAAGTGAAACTGGGTGCCACAGTCGCAACACAAAGCAATAGACTGTCTTAACATTACATTGCTTCGCAAATATACATTCACATGCAATGTATCACAAACACACAAAAAAAGAAATGAATTGGCAGTTGTTTTAGTAGTAAACGCATATATAGGCACTGCAAGTTTTATTTGAGGTTTGATCTTCATTTCCTGGCCAAACAACAAATAAACCAGCTTGTTGTGCAACGCTCACCTTGTTCCCCCACATGCATGTTTTATTATTTTAAATATATACATATTCTAAATTGGCTCATTACAATGGTGTCTAATGCTGGTTACCTCCCCCCAAATCTGCTCTTAGTATCGTGGACGACACAGACTACATCATGAATGTAAATATTGGACGTTTTTGCTTGGTGATGACACACCATGACTGACATTAGTTATATATCGTTTTGAGACGCTTAGTTGTGACTGAATCAACGTTTAAAAGGAGGGGGGAAACTGTATTCTTGTAAATACTGTTTTAATTTTGTATGGAGTGTTTTTCTTTTCTCCCGTCCGTTGCTTGGTTTTGTTTTCCTTGAGAGGGAGAGATGTTTAAAAGGGGGGGGGGAAGCTTTACAAGTTTGTACTGCTGCTCCTTGAGAGGGAGAGATGTTTAAAAGGGGGGGGGGGGGGAAGCTTTACAAGTTTGTACTGCTGATCATTTGACAAACAAACAAAAAATGTTTTCTATAGCAGAGGGTGTTAATGATGATGTCCTTGTAGTTCAAGTATTTGGGCAAATAAACACAATCTTGAACAATTGATTGTCTTTTGCGAATGAGAGTAATCGTCAATCATGTTTTGAGAAGACTGCTCTTTGGGATCCTCACAAGGAACTATCATTTCTATCAATGGCACCTGTCTTGCAGATACTGACGTAAGCACGATGTCTGACCTCGACGAAGTTGTTGTGACGTTAATATACAATTTATTCTTTCAATTGTCTGTTACTGTATGAATATTATTCCACATACAGCACTTACAGCAATGGTATACAATAAATATTTATATAGAGCTTTCAAAAAAACTACAGCTGTAACAACGCGTTGTTTTCAAGTGCTCTGAAAATAAAGTTGATTAATTGATACATAAGGTTAAATGTATTTATGTGGCCAATAACAATTTAAAAATCATGCGACACTTGTATTATTGCCAATGAGATAAATGAAAACCATTCAAAAAAAAACACCGTACAACATGCTTAAAAAGAATGTTTATCTTTGTCGAACTTCCGTAGTTTGCACCATCCTCACTTACGTAATATAAACGTTACATGACGTACACGGAAGTGCCGTGTTATCTCGCGCTGTGATTGGCGGAGTGCTGCTGCATGGCCGCTTTCCGACTGTCAAGCTGCAGAAGACGATCGTTTGTTTGTTTCGTCAATACCTGCGAAAAGCAAACAATATCAACAAGAGAGATACACCTTTGATATTTTTTCCCGAGACTTGACCAATATGGACGTCGAAAAAGATTACTCGCGTTGACTGACGCAGGTCATGCCGAGTCGCCTCTCGCCTAGGCGGAACGGGTCCCTTCCGTGACGACGAGGTAAAAGGAAAGCAAAATCTTATGGTGCTGCTGATGATGATGGTCTTGCCGCTGATGATGATGATGATGCGCGCGCACCCCCATTTCTAGCTGTGGCACGCGCTTCACGGTTCGGCGGTTGCTAGCCACTAGCCAGCTAGGTAGCTCATGCTCGAGTCAACCTTTTGGTTATTTGTAATGTTCAGTATACGCTCTTCCGTCGTAATCGAAAAAGAAAAACAATGACGGTACAAAAGACACAAACAGCCCGCACGTAATAGTGTCGCACAAAATTATTTCAATTCGGTTACCTGTTCTTTGGTGTTTATTTTTACATCCACAATAATAAACGTATATTGCAATGACGGCCACACCAAAAGTGAACACTATTTTTTTATTGTTGGTGTTCTGTTTGGCATCACTCCGTGTCACTTCATCAAATATCTGAAAATCTCCCCACAGAATGTTTGAAATATACTACGAAGATAAACCAGTTGATAGGTCTTCCTCATCATCTTCATCATCGGAGTGACGCCGGGGTGTAGCTCAAGTATAATTATCTTGTCGAAATTGAATAGCAAACTTGAAGAGTGGTTGAGCTCAGATAAGACTTCTGCTACTTCTGCCTCTATCTCCGGTGTCAGCTCAAACATTCTCCGCAATATAGTTTCTCTTGGATGATTAGTTTCACTGACACTGAGGCTCAAAAATCCAAGTAAACAAATTTCGCTCAACTTCAGAGCCATATTCTTCCCCTCAAAAAAACTGACAACAGGTACTGTATCAGGTTCAGCGTAACCTTTTTTTGATCGATTGAGAGTGTTTTGCATCATTTTGCCAGAGTGATTATTTTATTTGCCTTGTATTCCATCTTTATTTATATAGCTTTATACTGCTTCAAACAACAAAGTCTATGAGGGAAAATTGGTTAAGATTGCACGACGGTCTGTGTTTTTATGTTATGTGTTGTGTTTATTTTATTTTTTCTTTTATTTTATGTTAACTGTTTTGTAAAGCGCTTTGTAACAGCTGCAGCTCTTGTGAAAGCACTATATAAATCAGGATGTATTGTATATCGCGCTTTTTAAATGCTCATACTTGTGGGGGGGTTGTGACTGTTTCATAGTGTATGTCCAAGCCTACCAGTAAACATAATGACCCTTTCTTTAGAACTCTTATTTTCTTTTTTATTGACAGGATGAAGAGAGAAAAGCGACTTAAAAGCTTTAAAGTGAGTAATTTGGAGGTAAGAATGACTTGTGTGATCTACGTACTACTAGCATGTTTTTGGAGTTTAAAATGACTGTTTTGGAATTAATGTGACACGTGTGTTGATTTTTTCACGATAAATGTGCGTTGTTTTTTTTAAGCTTGCAAATGAGTAAAATGGCATTCATGTGCCTGTTAATTTAATCGGTGCGTTGATTTATTGTGTTGTTACCCAGTGTCCGACATTAATGTTGGCTCGATGGCCCTGGGCCAGTATGGCACTGTCACCTTATAGATGCTGGATTGACGGTGACAGTGAGAAATACAGAGTTATTGCGAGAGCTATGTGTTTACATTTGTTACCATAAATATGTTTTTTTAGCTTAAATGTGAATAATATAGTTATTGTGCCTGCTGCCAACATGCTAGGTACACAGCACCATTTTGTTTCAACGCCATCGAGGGGATTCATCAGTGGGATTTTCAAATGAAAATGGAGGATATGGCCCTTTCAGGCCCAGACAACACCAGGCTGGAGGTACAATCAGTGTTACATTGTGTGTGTGCATACATATATTTGTCATTCTTGAAATTTAACAGTAGTGTGTGTTAGGCCTTGGTCCACGATATCTACTCTGAGCTGGTGGAGGATGCTTGCCTGGGCCTTTGCTTTGAGGTGCATCGCGCTGTCAAGCATGGCTACTTCTTCCTAGACGACACCGACCCGGAGAGCGCCAAGGAATTCGGTTGGTAACATCACACCTTTGCCCAGTTGATGTACTTTTTTTTTTTTTAGATTTATTTCAGTGAGCAACCAAAGGAAGAAATGCAACTGCCCACAATCTTCCTTTGGCTGCGAGCGCTCCATTGTGTGCTGCCCTCAATTTTCATCTTCGAAATTCAAATCAGTAACTGAATGATACTTTCCTGCATTTCCTGCGCTGTCAATTTGAAATAACATTTTTTAATAAAGGCACGGACATTAAAACATGCTTTCTAAAAAATACAATTCATCAAGTGATCTACAAAATAATGGACAGATTAATCGGTGATGAAAACAAGGATGAGTTTCAGCCCAACACACAACGAATGGTAGCGAAGGGGCACACGTAACAGGAGGCCTTGGTTCTCCCCCTCTGTCGTTTTTGCAGAGATTGTAGATCAGCCAGGACTGGACATCTTCGGCCAGGTGTACAACCAGTGGAAGAACAAGGAGTGCGAGTGTCCCAATTGCAAGCGGTTGATCGCCGCGTCCCGCTTTGCGCCGCACTTGGAGAAGTGCCTGGGCATGGGGCGCAACAGCAGCCGGATCGCCAGCCGCAGGTCAGCCCCACGCGAATTGAGCCTCCAAATCATATTGTGTGATTTTTATTTTTATTTTTTTTCATATTTCAGACTGGCCAGCAACAACAACAACGTGAGCAAGTCAGAGAGCGACCAGGAAGATAATGATGACCTGAATGACAACGACTGGTCGTACGGTGCAGAGAAGAAATGTGAGCAATCTGAAAATCAAAGAGAAATTCCCAATGTAGCAAACTTTGTTAGGATTATTTTTTTTAAATGATTATTATCTTCTGATTGCAGCTAAGAAGAGAAAGTCAGATAAGGTCATTTCACTTTTATTTCTTTGCATTCTCGACGACCGGTATGTTGTGTGCTCTCTTGTAACTCTGATTTTTCATCTGTGCAGAATCAGAATTCACCTCGACGATCCAAATCTCTAAAGCACAAAAATGGTGAGGGATGATTCTTTTTTATTTTATTTCAATCAATGAATTAGGCTTTACAAGAACAGGATATTTGAGACCGATCAACGAGCTAAAAAAAAAAACAGTCCTCCATCACCGCTGACAGCTAGCGAAAATATTTCATTTAGTTTTATTTACGCAATGCATTTTCGAGATGAAGTATGTGAGCCTTGCTTTGTGTTTCAGGTGACTTGAGCAGCAGCGTCACTTCCGAAGCTTTCAAGGTGACCCCCATTCACCATCAGTCAGGCTACACTAAAAAGTTCGCTGGACTGCGTCAGAGACGATAAGCTCCCTTTTGTGTCTTTGGCCTTGTTTCAGTACAACAACTACAACAATGCTGGCATCAGTTACGAAACTCTGGGACCCGAGGAAGTCAGGTCGCTTCTGACCACGGTGAGAAAACCGTAGTTACTGTCTTTCTTCGCCGTGCACAAGGTGTCCCCTGACAAAGGATTGCTTATTCAGGTGGAAAATTCCACCGCGATACAAAAGTACCGGTCGGTGGAAATGATACTCGGTTTGCTCAGGTTGTGTGTGTTTGTGCAGCAATGTGGGGTGATCTCTGAGCACACCAAGAAGATGTGCACCAGGTATGTAGCACGCAGAACACACGCACGCTGCCGTGACGTGATGATGTCTGTCTGACCCTATGAGGTTTCCCCTCTTTCCACTTGATACGGCGCTGACATGAAAGTGAAAGTGCATGATGACTTTCATTTTCATCTTCGTCTGCTTTAAATGGTGGGACCGACTGAAGGTTGAACACAAGTTGGCAGGAGGGCCGGCGAGCCATCGACTTGCACGCACAAGGCCCTCTGGCAGGTGACCAGTCACCAGTCACTTTCATGCGGAGACCCTGCAAAATGGCTGCCTGAAGAGCCACTTTTGCACAGTGACACTGCATCCTGCAATCAATTTAAAAACAAAAGAAATCCCTTTTTTTTTTCTTATTTTTTAATACTGTCATTATGACCTGATGACGAGCTGGGTTCAGTTTGGAAGGCACAGTTGATCAACACCCTTTTTGCTTACCACTTTTCACTCATCTCTGTGTGAAAGACAGCAAATTACGGTGAAAGGGTCTCCCTGCATCCAGGCTGGTGCGTCAAGTCGGTCAGGGATGTGTAACGCCACCTTGTGTCCCGCCCACCAGGTCTCAGCGGTGTCCCCAGCACACGGACGAGCAGAGGAGGAGCGTCAGGGTGTTCCTCCTGGGGCCGTCCGCGTGAGTGTGTCCCCATAGCCCCCCAAACCCTTTCCTCAATCCCATCCTTAACGCCCCCCACTCCCATCTCTTCCATGTGTATTTGATTTATGTATGAATGCTTCTGACAGGTTTTTTTAACAGCTTTAAGGACACTTTGACTTGTGAATGACCACTGGAGGGGTTCCATTGTGTGTACTTGTGTGTGTGTGTGTGTGTATATTAGTGTGAGGCACAAAGTGTGTGTGTTGGAGTAGTGTGTGTATGGGTGTGGGTGTGTGTTGTAGTTCTGTACAATCATTGCTCTTGCAACGCCTTGCTAACTCAAAATGGCCGCCTCAATGTTAACAACCATGTGATTTCTCTGAAGCAAGAAAATGCCACCAAAGTTCTGATCCATGAAAGGATACGATACCCTAAAAATGAAACCATTTTCCAAAGATCGGAATTGCTAGTTTGGGGGTGAGTCCACACAGGAAGTGACCTGGTGTGAACTTTCCGTGGCCACCAGGTCGTCCCTACCTGACGCCGACGCTACGGTGGAGGCTGACATGTTTGAGCTTCAAGGGGACGGCAGCGGGGCCCAGAGTCTCATCAGCCGCCTGCAGTGGGAAGACTCGCCGGAGATTTCACCCACTGACTCTGCCTCATCCAGAGCCAGTAAGTTGCTACTAAGGCCTTTTTAGATTCTTTTTAATTTTTGTTTATTGACTCTCTATATTTTTTATTTATGTAGTCAATTGTTAATATTTGTATTTAATTTTATATGTATTTATTTCCTGTTAGCTTAAATTTTTTATTTGACTTACTCAAAGGGAAAGTCAAGTCACAAATGTTTTATGCACCTCCACTAGTCTAAACGCAGCTTTCTGATTAATATTGTGTTTGTGGAATATGAATTGTGCGGCAAAATACGCCATCTACAAAGGCGGCCATTTTGCTACTTGCTGTTGACTGGAAATGACATCACAGTTACCCAGGGATCAGTTGACAACCAATCATGGCTCATCTGTGAATGTCACATGACCCAACCCAGAAAACATGATTGGTCGTTACCTTAGCACTGAGCAACTGCGAAGTTATTGTTAATTGACCTCCCCCCTGAGATAGATTAAAAACAGGTGGATTTCGCTGTTCAATTCCTATTCCACAAATGCAAAAATAATCAGAATGCCGTGTTTAGACTACTTGCGGCGGTGAACATCCATTTTTATGATATTTAGCTTTCTGCCCACCATTTTTATAGATTTTATGTGCAGGACTCTTCAAGTATGCTTCCCCTTTGTCCTCCATTCGCCATTGTACTTTGTACTGCTCTGATGTTCATATAAAGCACCACCGATTGCTTTGGATCTAATTTTTCCATATTCCCTCCATCTCTCCACACAGGCACCAACCATTCGGACCCTCGCAGGCCCAAGAAGAAAAAGCGAACCTCGCTGGTTTTGAACAGCACGGCAGGAGGAGGAGGAGGAGGAGGAGTCAGCGGCGAAGGAACAAGCGGAAGTCTAACAAGTGGCAGCAATGGCGGCGTCTCGCAGAGTAACGTTAGCTTGCCTGCCAAGAAAAAGCGCCCCAAACTTCCTGCTCCTTCTATTTCCAGTATCTACGATGACTTGAACTAGCACCAGAGGACACCCCTCCACCCCGTCGTCTCTCCGCCAACTTGACAGAAAGTGTCGGGATGATGTGTTCAGGTGCACTAAAAACCACACACACACACACACACACACACACACACACACACACACACACACACATTCCTCTGCTCTGTACTGCTGTGTGTATTCCAGGTGAAGTGCGACTGGTGTATACGGTATTTTCTTTAAATAGTGGCCTGTCTAACTCTGTCCTGCCAGTAAACACCGTAGCCCAAAAGACATTAATGCCTCCCTCCAATTCTACCGTACCCCAAAAGACAGACACATTGACGCCCCCAACATATTCCCAAAAGACAAACCGATGCCTTAATAATTGGCGCCATATCCCAACACCCCGTAACCCAAGACAAATCCAAATAGAACAGATTGACGCCTCCCTCCATTGGACCCTGTACCCCAAAAAGCTGAAGCCTCCCTCCAAACAAGAACATAGACGCCGAATCCCAAAAGATTAAACGGTGCACCCCAAGACAAATCGAAAAAGACAAGCATCTCTCTTAACAGCTGCCACACCACCAAAAAAATATACACCTCGTTCCAATCAAGGCATACCCCAAAAGTTTAAGGCCTTCTTCCAGAAGACGCCATTCCCCAAATGACTGACGTGATGGCTCCACAATAATCACTATTAGGGAAACATGCTACTTTTGTATACTTGTGACATATGTTTTGAGTTTTGTCAAGATCATGATTACCTAATTCTTTAATGTAAAGGATCGAAATGGTCACTTGTGACATGGTATCATACATGGCGTGCTTTTCACACACACACACACACACACACACAAACACACACTTTGTATTTGCACATTTAACTGTAATGGTGGTAATGGACACGGTAAACTCACATATTTGAAATCTAATTGTGTATATTTTTATAGTCCTGTGAAGTTTTGTAAAGTGATCTTTTTGTGATGTGAGCTCTAAATATCAAGAAATGTAAAAAAAAACATTTTACCAGCGCTGTCCTGGTTACTGATGTTTGTAAATAAACAAAGTGGGAAGTTTTTTTTTCAATGCATTTAATTGGAGAAAGACTCCCAATTTTTTTTAATGTTCTCCTAAGTGCCAGATTCATTTGTTTCATTCATTCATTTTATTTACACTAAATACACAATATTGTACACAAAAGACACCAGGCCAGGTCTACTATCACAATACAGTATCTCCGCCTTTAAATTAATTTCTACACACCACAGAAAAAATGTTCAGCGTGAATAATTGACAAGGAAACACAGCCTTAGACATCGGAGAGCCGAAAAGAAAGCTTGATCACAAACTTTGTGATCAAGCTAAAGTTTGTGATCAAGCTCAGTTGTGATCAGTTTTTTTTTAACCTCCTCCAAGGAGATTTGTCTTTGTTGCCATTTGTTAGCGTGTTAGCAGGATTAGGCAAAAAGCGTCCCACTGAGTCCCAGTGATGTTTTATGGCAGAGAAAGGCGCAGCTGGAGAGAAAAGCGTGTCAAACGCAGGTAGGTGGACTGCTTGCTTTTTTTTTTTTTTCTTTGGTTTTCAGCATGTGGATGATCCAAATATGGGAGTTTCAGGGCCTTGGTGGAGGTCGCGTAAGTGTCACATGCTAATGAGTTTCTTCAGCGGCTGTGCATACCAAAGATGAGGAAGCTGAAGAAGATGGTGACACCCACCAGGGAGATGGTGGCGGGCGCGGTGAAGAACTGGCGGTAGTTGATGCGGAAGTACCAAACCACAGCCAGGATCACCACGAACACGGGCACCACCAGGCTGCCCGTGCTGATGGCCACACCAGCCGCCCGCAGGCCCCCGGAGACATCCGACGCCCCCTGGGGGGAACCCGCCGCCCCCGCTTCTGGGGTGCCGTCTTGCGGGGCCTGCGAGACGTGGCAGTGGATGACGCTGTTGTGAGTCACGTTCAGGGACAGCAGAGTCCTCTTGGAGTCCTGCAGGAGTTGGCCTTGATAGATCAGCTTGATCTGATGCTCACGCCCAGAGAAGTACTTACTGAACAGGGAGAAATTCACAAGGTACATTTCAGCATCGATATGAACATATATTAGACACACACAGCATTTAAGTGTTGCCCTATCGATTTTCCATTTGCTAAACACTAACTTTTTTTTTGGAAACTGTCCTATTTGCTTTTTTGTGCTCTTTCTGAAACACCGCAGGATGGCGCTAAAGCCCTTTCTAATGCAAAAGCAGTGCCACCTTGTGGCCCTCTAGTACCAAGCAACTGGGTGGAAGTGGCCTTAAAGTCTTATTAGACAGCCCAAAGCCCTCGCTAATGTAAAAGTAGTACTATGATGTCATCTTGTGGCACCATGAGGAAATGTTACAGTAAACTTTATTTTGGTGGGTTCAATTCACAAGCTACTCTATTTTCAACACTTTAAATTGGTTAATACTGAGGAAAAATAACAGCTGGTATGGGGACAGATCAATATCAATTTGACAAAAATCTGACATTGACCATATTTTGAACTTTAAAGGTTTCCTCCTGATGGCAACATGTAGTTTTTGTGCCAAAACGTGTGCCCGAACCTTTTGAGTTGGTCCACAGTATGGTGAGGCTTGACGACCGCCACTTCTTCAGTGTCGTTTAAAAACTTGAGTCGCACACAAAAGGACGGCACAGCTGACAACGCCTTTTTACATCCCTGCTCTCTCTCTACGTCTTCGCCGTAATCCTCGTCTTCCTCCTCGTCCGAAGCATGAATTCTTCCCCCCGGGGGTGCTTTGCTCTGAATGTCCAGCAAAAGATCAGTGTCCTCGGGCAGAGCCCCCTCATCCACCTCACCGTCGTCTGGCTTGTTCTCCGGCGAGGGAGGGGCGGCGCCGGTCTGCTCGGGAGCATCAACCTGGACGTCGCCGCCCGCGTCCCCGCTCACGCCGATGAGTGAGGCGTGGGCGCCTGCCGTCAGGATTGTGCCCAGGATGTGATCCCCGCGCTCTGCCACGTGTGTGGAGAGCCAGGCCAGCACCAACGCCAGGGCCACCAGCAGGGCGCCACCCGCCGCTGTGGCCTCACCACCCATCCCATCCAGCATGGTCAGTGCACACACTGCCATTCCCTTGACCTGCACAAATTGTGTTTTTGACACAAAATACGCACTTTTCAAAACCAGAATTTAGCATTGTGATGTTTTGCAACAAAGCTGAAGTCATTGTCGGACTCCCCCATGTGTTATGACAAAACACTCATACTAAGAAAAATGTGTGTGTGTGTGTGTGTATATATAAATGTAAAATACACACACACACACACACGTCTTTCATGGGACAATATACTTTTTGTTTCAAAAACATTTTTATTATAAGGCGTTAACACAGAAATGAGGAAAAATCAAAACCGGAAGTACGTGACACGTCACAAGACGGCCAACATGTTGACGTCACAATTAATGCACTGCATACTTAACAGGTCAAGTCGTTATCATAATGAAAAGGGGAAAAAACTTACCTTGAATGTTTTAACGCGGATTAGTGAGCCAGCAAATGAGTAACGTTGTGACTCCCGTCAATGTGTCAATTCATGACAACAACAAGAGGCGGCGTTAGCCTCGCGAGCTAACTCAAGCTAAATAAAGAGGAACAGCTCTTGGCTCCCTTTTCGCGATTCCATTTTCGCGTTCAATCGCCGTTACAACTTGCTTGGCGTCGTTTAACTTCATTATGGGTGACGGGATTATTCCTTACCGATCAGGCGTACAATGAGAACATGTTAGCCGACGAACTTCCTCGATGCTAGTAGCTAGCAAGCGGCTACTTCCTCAAAACAGGAGACGCACTCAGGCGGAAGAGAGGAGGGACGTCAGCAGCCTGACCCCGTGCTCGTGTTCTTCCACAATCTTAATTATTTCATCTTTCTGTCTTTATTTATTTTACATTCGTGTAGTTTAATGTCCGAAAACAAAATAACGGGTTTTAGGTTAGAAAAAATAATACAAAGGGAAAAAAAAGCTTTTGTGGAGAGTACATCCAAATTTACCAAAAATCATATGCTACATGAACCACCAACAGGACCACTGATAGGGTTTATGGGGCTCTGTCACACCGTATATGTGGTTATAAATTACACACATTTTTTTGTATTGATATGAAAAGCATCAATTCACCAACAAACAGCAAATCAAAGAAAACAAGTCCAAATCCAAATTCAGTGTAGTGTGCCGTCATTATGCAGCAGCAGGTAATCCTTGACCGAGCTGGGGACGTCCAGTCGACTCACTTGTGAATGGCATAGCGACCCCAACTGACGACGCAAAGCGCAGCGGCAGAGATGCTGCAGTGAGCGAGGATGACCGCTCCGTTCGCGCACTAGTTTGAAGAAATCCAGGTGTCCCTGCGTGAGAGGGCAGTCGTCAATCCAGTCGCATGGCGGAACGATGGGGTACGAGTTCAGGATCACCTCCAACGTGGCGGGAGAGATGACGCACTGCCTCAACATCTGTGCACAGAAAAGTAAACACAATCTTAACATTAATCAACTCCTCGAGTTAGCCATGGAGGAAAGCAAAAACTCAATTGAAATGATGTTGTTTTTTTAGTTGAATTCGTTGTCTTGCTATTTAACATGTCAGGATCGTCAAACACTAAATACTACTTGATGTTGAAAAACATTCAAATTCTTTGAAGATGAAATTGTCTTTGATCGAGAAAAATGTACGTTTAGCTTCGTTTAAAAACTCAAAACTGTCTTTGGAGTTCACTCAAAAGTTTTTTTAAGGCTCTACACTGTCACTTTTCCAAACCTTTGGTGGGACAGTTTTGGCTCCATGGTTCAGGAGAGTCCGTACCACTGATTCAGGTTGCTGGTTCAAGTAGTCCTCAAGCACCTTCAAGGACAATCAGCATTTTATTTCATTGTCTTGATGTTTTGCATTTTTGTTGTCGTACCTGCAGCAGACATTCCAAGGGCGTGTACCCCGCGCAGTTTCTGACGTCCGCCTGCGCTCCGTAGAGCAGCAGTAGCTCCACGATGGCCGGGCAGCAGTTGGCGCAAGCGTTGTGCAGCGGCGTGTGTCGCTTCTTGCCCGCCGTACGCGGGTCGGCACCCGCATCCAGGAGCCTGCGCACCACGCCCTGGTAGCGGCTTGCCTCCGAGGGCTTTTCGGCCCTGGCGCAGGCGGCGTTGAGGGCCGTCTCGCCCTCAAGGTTGGTGGCCAACACATCGGCACCTACGGAGAGCAGCAGCTCCACGTGGGCCTCCAGGCCCCTCAGGGCGGCCACATGCAGCGGGGTGAGCCTGGACTCCGCTGTCCTCACATTCACGTCGGCGCCGCTGTCCAGAAGCAGCTCAGCGCACCTGCAGGCGGATTTTCATGTCAAGGTAAAACCTCTTTTGCATAGATGATACCTTGCTTGAAAAATATCGAAGGCAAATTAGTATTGTGTGAACCGAACATTTTTTTTGTTTTGTTTTTTGTCAAGAGCAAAACGTAGGTACATATCTTTAAACATGAAGGACAATTTAGAGTCATCAGTGACCCAAAGTTCTATTTTTGTAAGCCTCAGATACTTTGGAGTCTTTGACAAATCGAATGTGATTCTGTAAACATTAGTTTTAGTCAACCTAACATCTGTGTTTTTTTAAAACCTCAAAGACAACATAGAGCAAAAAATGGTGTCCCAAGCTTACTGTAATGAGAGCGGCAAGGTGCACAGGTGAAGAGGTGCATTTCCGTCAGCTGACAGCAGTTGCGCGTCTGCTCCATGGGCGAGCAACAGTTTGACGCAGGCGGCGTGTCCTCCCGCGCAGGCATCGTGGAGGGCCGTGCTGCCTCCCGGGTCTGCGTTCACCTCGGCCCCGCGGAACAAGAGCTCCTCCACGCACGCAGCGTGCCCATGGCGAGATGCGAGGCGCAAGGCGGACGTCTGCTTCACCTTGCAGCTCATGGTCCACATGCCTGACAGAGGAACATTAGTTTCGTTAGCATGTTTATGGCATTTTGCTTTGTGAGTGAAGGTACTGCTGTTTATGGGTTTCAGTTACAATTTCACACGTTGCCGCAAAGTAAATGAGTTTGCCAGCCCTGAGCTTGAAGGACGTACCCATCTCCGGGGCCCACACCATCTCCTCATGCACCGTCTCCATCAGGGCGTTGACCATGGCGGGGTCCCTGAGGATGGCGTACACACCTTTCATGTCACCGCACATGAAGGTATTGTGGATGGCGGCATCCCGGCAGCGGACCTGAGGTGGGGCGGCCCGCACCTCCTGGAGGCGCAGAGGCCCCGGCGGAGGCCTGCTGGGGGCCCTTGGCAGTGGGACCCGGGTCAGGGCTCGCCTCTGGGCCAGGGCCCTTCGCGCTTCCTCCCAGTCCTGCAACTCCTGCTCTAGCCTCAGGGAGCGCAGCGATGTGGATGTGGATGTGTACGGAAATGTGTCCTTGGACATGACGCTTCCTGGAGCACACAAATAAAAGGCGATATAATCTATATTCTGTTATTTGTTTGAGCAGGTCCAGAAATGCTTGCCAAAAGTTTTGACTCACCCACAACTGGAGTCGCAAACAGAGTGTAAGTAACTCTCATTAAAAGTTCCCCCTTTTCACCCTCAATCGTGCAGTGACACTTATTCCGCGGTGTAGAGGGTTGCCAAAGACAAACTCATAACCAGTTATTAATAGATAACTGAATGTGGGTAAACTGATACCTGTGCATTTTCAAAATACTCAAAAGGTGGCAGTATTGAGAGTAATCGCATGATACCGCCACAGAGCCAATACATGACAATGAATAGTGTTATTTCAACATCTAATAATCTATTGTTTTTGCGTCTAGTTTACCTTATTTCTCCATAAAGCCAAAGGAAGACAATAAAGCCTGCAGCAGACGGGATGGCAACTATTGCTCTTAACTTCCGCATTCTTACTGAAACTCAAATGAGGCGAAGTGTCTTTATATTAAATAGACGAGGGTAAATACCATGTTATTGTTCCTTACCGTTCGAGGAAGACAACCAAAAACGCCCAACCTTGATTCTTACAAAATAAAATGTTACAACTAGCTTGTATTTATTTATTTATTTATTTATTTTTATTTTTTTTACCAACTTTGACGTAAGACGGTAGGGGAACCATCGCTCCTTGTATATTCTTCGGCTTCATGAGTCTCCGTCATTTTCGCAATTAGGCAGGAATGAATACCTTGTTATTTCGACTCAGAACCAAAAGAAGATGCTAAAGAAGATGCTAAATGACGCACAATTTTGATTTTTCACAACAAACTTACACCAAATAACTAGCCAAAAGGTATAACGACTTTGAATCGCGGATCGACGGGAACTATCTCGCTCTACTCTCACATTCAAAATGTACCGTTGTACAGCAAGCAATCTGGCGAGATGGTCATTGTCACTTTCTTATTGTAATTACATAATTACTTGATTTCGCTTTATCGCCAAAGACGGATACGATTGAGGTTTGTTTTCAATGAGGTTTCCCGATTTTGTCAGTGGACGGGAAGTGAATAGTCTCGCCCCATTTGATGGGGATTGATGAGGTCCCAGCAGTCATTTTCTTGTCGAAATAATACATAAACGCATACACATAAAATATGGCTTTCCGTGAGGCCTGTATCTGATATAAAATGACTCAAAAATTCTTTTGGGTGTATTTTTACCAACTTTTTAAAAATAGGGAATGGGTGGGGAACTATCAAACACACGTTCGCATTCTTTGTCAGAATACGGCCAACGTCATCACGTTTGACGTGAATCGCGGGCTCACCGTTTCTCCAAATTCACCCACCACAGCAAGACAAGTTACCCGCTGGATAATTTGTTTAAGAAAAGAACGTTCATAAAATCTGTCGTCACCGGATAGCCTTCAACGTATTTGCTACATGTAACAACTCGTCGAGACATTTAGTGCTTGCAATGGTAAGATACTTCGGGGCGAACGTTAGCTTGCACGGTAACGTGGTAAATATGTCGTCCTTTTCGCTCTAAATCGTCATCTTGTATTTACGTGCAAAGCGAGCTTCAGAAAGGTGTCTTTCGATTTTTACAGAGTTGCAAACTGAGTGGTCTGTTCAACATTGGCGACGACTTTGACGACGAGGTAGCGAAACACACACCTGATGCCATCACTTTTTTTGAAAAGCAATATGACGTGACGTCACAAAAATGTACAGTACCCCCACCATAACCACGTCCTTTTATCACTTATTATTTTACAAATTTGCTAGTGTCAGGTTTATACTACAGTTTTACTTAAAATGTCATTTTTTACACAGTGCTGTATCCCTCTAACTCAGTCACTGCCAAACTTCCCAATCAAAATGCATATTTACTATTTCCGTCAGACTTCATCATTCGATAATGTTGTTGACCCTAGTTCTGTTTATGGCTCAGGACTTGCTGGCGACAAACTGGGCTGTCAGACCACCAACCACTGTGCCTTCCCAACCCGTAGCTGTCGCTTGTGTGGCCTCCAATAAAGATTCCAGTACCAACCTCCTCCATAGATCAGCTTTCCTGCGTCCCACCTGGACCTCTAAAACAGTTGCTCCAACTTTACAGAAGCTTTCCTCTGGCACTCGGGCTTGCCCTCTTCTGCCAGAATTTCCTGAGCCCCAGCCGAGGCCCTCCACCCCTTTGCCACCGTGTCTGCCCCCTGCCATCCATGATGTCACCAGAGATTCCGGCACCAATCTCTTCCGGCCAAATGGGGAGTCGTCACGTCTTGCCTTTAATAAGGTTAACAAGGCTGCTTTCCATAACCTTATCTCCGGTGCTCATTCCCTGAGGCCTGATCCGACCCCGCCTCTGGACCTCCCTGAGCCCCATGTGGGGGCACAGGATAGGCTTGCCGTCGGTGTGCCATTCCACTTTCTGGACCAGGAAACGGTTGCTCCGACTTTGCGGAAGCTTTCCTCCGGCGCTCAAGCTTGTTCCCTTCCGTCCAGCGAGTGGGACTTGGACAGAGGCAACAGGCAGCAGAGTTCCATCCCTACCACTGTTGTGGCATTACGCCCGCTGGGTGCCACCCCTGCGGCCCCTAGAGGCTCCCTCACTAGCCTCTTCCAGCCGAGTGGAGAGCGATTAGCTCACTCCATTCCGCCTCCCACGGGTGATGTCACTGAACCGCACTTTGGGACCCTGCAGAGGCCCACCACCAATGCCACCACCCAGGATGACTTTGACGATTGGGACTTGGACCTTGCAGACTTGGAGGAGTGTGAACGTTTAGCGGGAGCCTCTGTACCGGCCAAAACGCTGTGCCACCCCACAGCTGGAGGAAGCCTAAGAGTGCCAACCTCGACAGCCCCTCACCCGGTCACCACCTCCCGGCCGGCACCCAACCCTCTTTCCAAGACTCTCGGCAAGCCCCAGCAGGCAGCATGGAACACACCGGTCCCCTCTCGCCCACCCTGCGGACTCTTTGAGACTGTTGCGCCTGTGCCTGCGACATCGCCCTCCCCCTCGCTCACCATTCGTCCACACCCCCTCAGCACTCCGCTGCTGACCAATCACCTGGTGCAGTTGGTCTCTGCATCCAATAAGGTATCGCGGAAGAGGCCTCGCTCAGAGCCTCGACCGCCTAGAACTCGGCGTTTCCCGGGCCCGGCGGGGCTCCTCCCACAGCAGGTCAATCTCCAATGTTGACGTCGTCCATTGTCGATTGCTTTCCTGTCAAAATGACGACATTTAGTGAGTTTGTTCTTTTTTTTTCCAGCCACACAGTCACAGTCTGGATGAGATTGTGGTGTCTGTTCCCCAGACTCCCGCCCACGGTGTGGTGGCTCGTCTTCCAAACCAGGTAATACCCGCACAGTATACACTTGATTGAAAGGGCGAATAGAGTTGGTTTGTGTCCCAAATGATCACTTCTACAACATTCCTAGAAAATAACTATGTCTCATCACTAGTGAGCTATTTGTAGAACAGGCCCGCATGCTACTCATGTGGTCATATTTGCCCTTTCATTTATTGGTGCCCATTCTAGTTGTCGTTTTTTTTTCTTTTTTTTTTTCCCCCCACACATTGCCCATGACCATTCCAATGTCAGCTGTGCAAACTCACCCGGCACCCATATGAGGACAAGCACTGTAGATAATGGATGGATTCTGTCCAGGTTTCCAGCTCTCAGGCTGAGGAAGAAGAATTAGGTGGCCCTTGGGCGGCGATGAAGGCTGAGATGGGATTGGACGAGCGAAACCCGGCGTGCTTCCTGCGCTCCTTCAGCGTGGTCATGGTGCTTCGCAAGGTCTCTTGCTTCACTGCCTTATTTTCACTTCCATCTTTTGAACAAAAGTGTCATTTTTAGGGGGTGGGGGGGGTCTTGTTTTATTGCCGTGGCAGGCAGCTTTGAAGCAGCTGAACAAAAACAAAGTGCCAAACATGGCCGTGATGCTCAAGAGTATCAACCACACACACACTGATGCGAAGGCCGTGTTCAGAGATCCTACAGGCAAGTATGCGGACAGTTTCGCAATATTATCTGTAAGGAAAACGCACAGGTTTACTCATACACCTGTTCAGTGGGTTACATGTCTATGGTTTTTGATGAAAGGTGAGATTCAGGGCACAGTGCATCGGCGCCTCCTGGAGGAGCGCTTGGGGGAACTCAAAGTTGGCGCTGTGCTGCTGCTCAAACAAGTGAGCAAACACCATTTTTGATTTAAAAATGTGTCACCAGGATCTTTTTATTTTATAGCAAGTGTGGCGTTTCCTTCTAGGTGGGCGTGTTCTCCCCCTCCCATCGCAACCACTACCTCAACGTGACGCCCAACAATCTCCTTAGGATCTATTCGCCAGATGGAGTCTCCCACACGTCGGGGCAGCTCCCACCGTTGCTTTTGGTGGGTGACACCCGCCAAAATCTAAATCGGCAAGCCGTCTGCCCCTCTGAGTATTAAAAAAAAAAATCCTTCCACGTAGGAGCCGACACCGCCGTCACCTGCCGTCAAGCCTGCGTCCTGCATGCAGCTGGTGTTTGACGATGACGATGATGGTAATGATAACAGGACCGAATGTAAAGATGGAAGCCTGCAGACTCCATGCTGGGATGCGGGTGGGTTCACTGCCATTTTATGTGTATTAGTGTGGAAATGTTCATCTTGTTTTGTTAATTAAAACTAATAATTCTTTTTTTTTGTTGTGTTTATCACAATGTTATTCTAGTTGTATTTCATTTCATTGAAAATTAAAAAAAAAAATTGAAATTGTACATTTTGGGGTGTCCTTGGCATGCGCTGTCTGTAAGCTGTGTATTTGTATTTTATTTTTAGCTGAATTTATATTTTAGGAGCCTGCTATATAGAGATTTGTTATTTTCTCATGATTTATTTCATCTCGTTCATGCTGACTTTTTCTGTCATCTTGCAGGATCTCCACGTGACCAGGGCTCACATTATCTTCAGCACATGACCATTGCTTGTCTTTTTCGTTACAGATGACCTGGATGAGTTCTTGGTGGCGCTCCCCGAGGACACCTACAGTCTTTGAGGGAACTGATGCATCAACACTGACCCCAATATCATCTTTATAATGTTCCCAACATGTCAAAATGTGCATTTTTGTTGTTGAAAGGTATCCCAAGTGGCTCTCTCTGTTGACGTTAGTAAAGAAAAATACATTGCAAATTTTGTGACATTGTTTTATTATCATATGCACAGGAATAATAATAATAATTTGCCTTTAAACTTCCACAACGTATCCTCTGCCACTTGGGCAGATGGATGATGATGCTTCACAATCCATTAAAATGCAGTCTTCAATTGTCATTACTCTTTATGCAGGGTTATGCAGAGTTCCTGGGGGAATCTACAAGTTCGGGTTACTCCAATAAGTTGCATATATTGTCACTCAGTTGCAAATATACATTTGTGAAGCTAATACCGAAGTAGAAAGCTGATATTTTTAGATAGGATGTAGTTGGTCGTTCAGGAATTTGTGGGCTGTGCCAAAAAAAAAACGTCACAGTGGTGTATCTTTATTTTTCTTATTCTTTATTAGCATCACGGTCGCATGCCAGTTAATGCAATCACGGGAAAGTGGATTGATTTTACATAAAGAAACTTAGTTAACCTTATCCAAGAGTGGACGAGAGTAGACTATCCTTTGTTCAATACTGCAGCTAAATAAACAATTTAACACCCTCCCATTTTTCTGCAAATTGAAAGAACTCAGTAGTGATTGGTTGTTGAGAAAATTAGTCGCGGATTCCAAAATGACGTTACTAAAATGCGTCGTGGCAACTCAAAACAGTGAATTATCAGTCATGTCAAACTGGAGGTCGGAGGAAACCACGCGGAAGTGTTATACTTACTAAAAAGTTGGTAAAGTGGAGCAAACGCGCACTAGAAACATCTCATCATCAACTACAGCACAAGAAGTCGCTTCAGAATGAGGTTTAATGTGACGCCAAGGCCGCCAAATTCCCCCTGCCGAAAAGTAGGTGAACCTTGAACGCTGCTCGCCTTGTTAGCGGGAATAAAAGTGCAACTTTTTTCTTTCTTACGCCTTGGTAATCCTCATAATCACTTCTTCTGTTCCGTGAAGCGATGAATATTTTATGTTTCCTGCCTTTTCCTCAGTGATATATTTTCATTTGTAGTTTGAAATCGCCACACATTTGATTGACACTCTCCACGAACTTGGCGTCGTGATTCATAGCGAACAAAACCCACTGTCAGTGTTATACCGGTCTTGTTAAAAACAATTTAAATTGTTTTTATTTTGGAGTCCAATGATAGTTTTAAACTGTGGACATACCTATGTAAACAACTCAAACATGTACATATAACTTCCAGCGATCTTTGGACTTCAGTTACGTCATGAATGACGGACTTAATGGTTTTGAAAATGCTATAAAACGCCAAAATGCCCCCCCCCCCACACACACGTTTTATTATCCTGCCTCTCCATGCCCTCCTGCCCTCATCTTCCATATTAAGACTCACAACCAGGATGCCTGCCTCATATCCCCTGTGTCCCAGTGATGGCGTGCTATCTCTGACCTCGCTTCTCTCCGATCCACCACCCCCACTCCCCCTAAGTTTCCTTTTTGGTCCCGCTCCCTCCTTCCCAACATCACGCTTCACTTCCCATGACACCACCATCACCAAATACGCCCCCCCTCCCTCATTGAAACCCCTACCATCCATCCATCCATTCGTCCGTCAGTCTGCGTTTTGGCCATGTTCCTGCTTCCCGTCCGTCCGCTTGTGTCTATCTGAGGTGACGGGATGTGCAAGTGTGAGAGAGGGGAGGGAACGAACCACTGCTCCCCCTCACCCCCCTCTCCCTTTTCTCTCATTCTCTCTCTCTCTCTCTCTTTCTCCGCCGTTGTCAGGCGCCGCCACAGATGAGCAGGAAAGAAGCGGGCGAGCGGATGTAGCCGGACGGAGGACGCCAGGAGGAGTTTGAATGGGCGCTCGCGACTAAACAGTGGCTTTGATCATTCACGGCTCACCCGTCCTCTCCTCTCACACACTCACGCCGGATGTCTCCTCGGACTAAACAGTGGCTTTGATCATTCACGGCTCACCCTCTCACGCCGGATGTCTCCTCACTAGGCTGAAGACGAAAGGTGCTGGCCGTCAGCTGAGCGCATGGAGAATCCGGCACGCTTGGACATACATGTGATGTGTGCATGTGAGATTGCATGCCAGAGTGTCTGTTTTACTCCTTTCACTATGGAAATTTGGTGAGAGTGTGGAAGTGTGTACGTACAGGATGGGATAGGAAGAGGATGATTGCTGTCATGTTTCAGTTTAAAAATGTTCGCTAATTAAGTATTCTTTCATTTTTTCTTTCTCTTTCTTTTTTTTAAGAGGGTTTATTTGTCATTGGATTTTTTTATTTAGTTTTACATTGGTTTCATATTTAGTTTTTTTTTATTTCTTTTTAATGTTGTTTTACATTTTACTTATTGAGTTACTTTAATAGTTTTTGTTTATTTTGTCCAACTGTATTAAAACTTTTATTTTATATGTTTGATTTTTTGCAAATATTTAATTTTATTCAGTTTTAATGTATGACAAGATTAAGTTAAAATTAAAATGTAATTGACATTTTTCTAATTGTACGTTTTAAAAATATTTAATGTGCTTGTTGAGTTGTGTAACACTTTTACACAATTCAATTTTGTTTATTTAGCACTCGACGGTATTGCTATTTTTTTCTTTTTTTTTTTTAAATCTACAATGTTCCCAAAATGTATTCATTTGTAATAAAAATAAAATAAAATGTAATTTCTTGACGGCATTCCATCAACACTGCTGTATATTCTAAATGTGACCTCACCTGTGTTTTGGGCACAGGTGCGGGAGGGTCGGGGAAGAGCGGTCTTCCCAAGGTGACGGAGCCCCCGCGGACGATGGACCTGAAGGAGAGCTGCGGCAGCCGGGAGAGCTCCAGCCTGCGTCCCGGCTCCTGGCGAGCCTTCGCGTTCAGCAGCACCCTGCACGGCCTGCGCTTCGTCTTCCCCTACTCGAATGGCGGTGGAACGGCGCGGCGCCTCCTGTGGGCGGCGGCCCTGTTGACCTGCATGGCCCTGCTGGCGCTGGAGAGCGCTGAGCGTCTGGCCTACTTCCTGTCCTTCCCGCACGTGACCAGCGTGGACGCCGTGGTGTCGGGCAGCCTGGTTTTCCCCGCCGTCACCCTGTGCAACCTGAACGTCTACCGCTTCGGGCGGCTGACGCGCAACGACCTCTATCACGCCGGCGAGCTGCTGGCGCTTCTGGACGTGCACCTGAACGTCTCTCAGCCGCACCTGGCCGAGCCCGACGTGCTGGATTTCCTACGGGAGCGCGCCAACTTCACGGCATACAAACCCAAGACTTTCAGCATGCGCGAGTTTGTGGAGCGCGTCGGACACGACCTGCAGGAGATGATGCTCTACTGCCGCTACCAAGGCCAGGAGTGCAGCCACCGAGACTTCCAGACGGTGAGTAGGCTCTTCTTCAACGAAAATGTCAGCCGGGTTCGCAGATTAGTCACTTCATTGTGTTCTCCTTAGACTACAAGCTGATCTTTTCCTCCCACGGTTTTGCCTCCTGGGCTTTGTCCTCGCACCATGTTCTCTTGCCGTCCACCCCGGACTTCAGGGTTCATTTGTCTCGTCTTGCGCGTTCTGCCAAACTGAAACTTCATGCCGGAACAAAGTCAACACCCACTTGTTGCCTCCTCCGATTAACTGGCACTTCTTCTGAAAACCTTTTTCCTCAACTCTCAGTCGAAAATGCTTGAAAGGCGGTCTGCAAATTGTTTAGCATCGGTGGCCCGGTTCTGTTACATTGCATGTTTTCAGACAGCAGGTGTAATTGCTTCGCCTTAGTTACACGTCCACTCCGTCAACTATAGAAATGGCTCAGCCTCTGGCTAGTGGATGTCATCACCTCACTGAAATCCTTTTCGCTTCCCAAGTTCTACCTCCGCTGAGAAGGTTTCATAGCTGTTTTGTCTGCCAGTTGTGCTTGTTTACCGAAACTGCTCTGTGAGTTTCGACAGAACTTCATGACCAGGTGAGGCAGGGGCCAAGTTAGAATTGGGTAACCTAAGGTCATGCTTCAAGATAGGGTGCAGTGAACACCTTATTTTCAAGGGTCACCGTTTCGTATTTTTCTTTCCTCTTCCCCCCAATCTGTGCACCCTAATCTCACCTAGTTGCTAAAAAAAATTGCAGCCATCTTTGTATGTTTGTGCTCTTTCTGCAACACCTGAAATGCTACAAGCTGCTGCCAAAGTGCTGGGTAATACAGTAGGAATGTAGTAATTGGTACTTTTGTACGTTGCCAAGGTGACATACACGCCAGCATCTTTTTTTTTTTTAAATCAAATAATCTGGAAGCCCTTCATTTTCAACGGTATTGTAAAATAAGTTTGAAATTATTTTATTTAGAAATGTATAATTTCATTTTCCGTATATTTCGAGTTTAAATAATTAGTATAGGCATTTACAAACAATTGCGGGTTGTCAATTATTTGCTGATATTTGCTATTTCCGGCAGGTCTTTGTGGCTTTGAATCGCAAGAGTTCACTGTACTTTACATCCTCCATTTCAGCATTCCATGACTTGTTTAGACTTGGTGGCCTGTTCTGGTGAAGTTTGCACTCTCAGCATGCGTCTACATTGGAAACAAACTTTGCGGCTCAGCCTCTGGCTAGTGGATGTCGAGGCTGGTGATATGCTTTGGCCTTGGCGCTCTGGTTCCGTTACACTGTAAAAAGTGCAACTGGTATTTTTTGCTGCCAAAAAGTGTTTAGTTTATTTTTATGTCAATAGTTTTTTTTATTTTTTGTATTTAGATTTTTTTAAAAAAAAGCATTGATTGCACCCCCTGGAGGCCATTTCGAAACTGCAGGTTGAATCCAGTTTATTCATCTTTGATACTTTGTGACACTTGGCTTGCCCTCTTCTGTCGCAGTTAGCCTGCGTAGCCCGGCGAGTCGCTGCTTGTCTCCCCTTAGCGGCCATCGTGGATGTCGTGGGCCGCGTTGGAAACTCTCTTCGTAATCGCGTTGACAAGTGAGGCCATGGGAAGGCCTCGTTCTGTCTCGCCGCCTGTTGCTGCAGCTGTTCCTGGCTTGTCACCTCGCTTTACCGTAGCGATGTACCTTCACCTCCCCGTGGATGCTAAAAAAAAACAGCAGAGCTAGAAGGAGGCGTCTGTCATGGGTGTCGTGATTTTTATTTCAGGTTTTTTTCTTCCCCCTAGTTTGCACACATGCAGCGCGTGAGCGTCACCTCGCATAGCGATCAAAACATGCACATTATAT